TGTTGGGGGGCCCCCCTGCCCCTCAGGCGGGTGCCCCCAGCCAATGGCTTGTCCTGCCAGGGCTGAGGGGCATTCTGGGGACACATTTCATATGTATTTGGGACACCACAGTGGGGAGGTGTCCTTGTCCCTAAGCAGGGGTGCAGGCAGGTGGCTCATCCTGGGGACAAGGGACATGTTTGGGACACTGGGGCCACCACACTGGGGACACATCCCTGAATAGGGCAGCAGTGGGTGCCTTGACCACTGGCTTGCTCCAGGGACAGCAAGGGACATGTTTGGGACACTAGGCAGGGGCCACCTCATTCCGGGGATGATGGTCAGACTGGGATGACCACACTGGGGTCCCAGTGGTGCTGGGGACCTGTTCCCACCCCTGTCCCCAGCTCACCAGGGGGACAAGGGCCACCTGGTAGCCATCCACTGGCACGGGCGGCCGGGGCCAGGTGACACGGAAGGACGTCTGGTTACGGGCAGCCAAGCGTGGTGTCACTGACGGGATCTCTGCGGGGACACGGTCCTGTCAGAAGGTGCCACCTCAGGGACACTTTGGGAAGCCAGGGGATGGGAAACCCATGGGATGGGGACACCCTGGGGTCACCATGGAATGGGACGTATGTGGCATGAGGATACGCTGGGAACGCCACAGGACAGGGAGGTGATGGGAGGGGAACACCCTGGGGACACCAGTAGATGGGACACCCATGGGACAGGTACACCATGGGGACACCATAGGGACAGGGCACTCAGGGAATGAGGACATCTTAGGGACATCATAGGACAGGGACAATCTTAAGATACCCTGGGGACACCCAAGGGACAGGGACACTCTGGGGACACTATGGGGACACCATGGAATGTGACACCAGAGGATAAGGATATCCTGGGGCCACTGTGGATGAGGAAGAAGGTGGGGGGACACGGGGATGCAGACACTGGGGGACTCTTCAGAACCCTGGGGACACCTGGGGACAAATCAAGGCGGCCTCAGGGCCCACAACAACCAAAGAAGAAGGTGGGGGGGCATTGGGAGCACTGGGATAGGGTCAATGGGGGGACCTTCTGGGACCCTCAGGGACACGTGGGGACACACTGAGGTGGCAGGGCCCATTATGGCCAAGAAAGAATGTGGGAGAGCACTGAGATGGGGACAACAGGGGAGCACTGGAGACCCTTGGGGACCCCTGGAGACCCCGTGTCCATACCCAGGTGGCAGTGGTCCCCGCCACGGCCAGGGGG